CTGCAAAACAGGGACCCAAGACCCCCAACAGGTATTCATCCCGATGGTCTCTGAAAGTGCGCTTCCCTGGGTCCCAACACGCCCCATCACGAAGCAATATCGGCGCAGGCCGCTGCGAGGAGGTGCTCCAAAAGCACACCGCAGCCCCCCGCTCGATGACAAAGGGCCGCGTCCATGACGCTGTTTGCATGGCCTTTAGAGGAGACCGAACGCGAGGCGAGGCCACGAATGAGGCACCCAGTCCGGTTGCTCAGGAAACGGGACCAGAGCGAAGCAGTCACCATTGCGGGCGCGACAAGGACTTTGCGGTTTGGGGACATAAAAGCTCGATGTGGATCAGCGGCACGTCGAGGTCGTCGCGAACGATCTGCCTGTGTGGAATAGGTCGCTGGTCGCTGGCGGAGCACTGTCCGTCGAATATTGCAAGCAGCCCGCCACGTCGCTGAAGCCGAGGGGCCGAGCGGTTTGCCGCTTCGCCCCGGGATGTAAAACTGAGGAATCAGGCCATAGGTTGTTCGTCCTGTTTTTAGTGCCCCGCTCGCGGGCCACTTTCTGTGCAGAACCGCACACCACGTGTTTGAGCACGCTTTCGTGCACATTTGAAAGTTTGAACATTCTGGCACAAACGCGCCACAAGCATGGCTTGTGTACTCGCGATATTGTGTGGTTCGAGTTTTCGATTATTGCCACGCCATGGTCGTAGAATTGCTTGCATGAGCGAGCAAATGCTTGGGCGACACGCCGGCCAGTCTGGCAGAGTGGGATGAATCCACCGCGCCCCCCAGCACCTGCACAGGGCAAAGGCCATGTCGGAGTTGTTCAGTTAATCATGCAGTACACTTCTTACGCAGATTTCTTGATGCAGCAGTGTGCGAAGTGTGAACCCCACCTCCAAATTGTTTGGATGCGATTGATGCGTATTGCGGAGGAGCCGGCCGAGGGGCACCAAGGCCCCCGGCCCCACCAGTGCAGGCAGCTTATTGTGCTCAGGGTTTGGACCGAAGTTCACGGGATATGCTTGATTTTTTTTATGGCTTTCAATCAGGACTGATCTGATCCGAAATAAAACATTGCGTCGCCTCATGTTGACAATTTCTTGCGAAGGCAGCACTTCCGGGGAGCTTGAAAGCAGCTCCAGCGGCTGCAGCTGTCCCTGCGTCGGCGGCAGCCCCTGCGGCTTCAAGTTCCGAAAATGCCCCGGCAGATTCGGCACAGTTCCAGGCCGTGACTTCAGGGGTTCTTTTCAACCGAAAGCATCGGCATGATTGATTTGGGGTAGTTGGCATTGGTTGAGGCTGGCATGCACGGCAATGTCGGGCAAGTTAACCAAGCACCTGCCAGTGAATGCAGCCCGTTCTGAGCATGGGCTGACAGCCAGAGCCATTGGCCCGATGGATTAACGGCAGAGTGAGAGAGAGAGAGAGAGAGAGAGGGAGGGATGAAAACAAAGTTGAAGCAAGCTGCAGCGAGATCAGAGGGATCTTTTGGCGAGGATGGCTTGCAGTGGACGCGAATCTTAAAGAGCATTCCAGAAAAGCGCCTCGTCCGCATGGGCTTAGAGAAAGCTAGGAGAACACCAGCACAGCTAATGTTTCTTTTGTCAGGGAGCTTAGTCGGTTCTAGCTGCTCAATGCCCGCAGCTCGAGGACGGCACCCGCCGCAGCAGGCTCAGCATCGCAATCACTGAGTGAGGAGATGGACGAGCAAACGGGGGCGGCGAGCCGAATAAGGCCAACGCAAATCAGATGTGATTTTCTTCTAGATGTTTTATAACATTTCTTCCGGGCATTCCACTGCTGTGCACTATTGCCCCCTTACTCCCAGCGCTTCGCACTTGAGAAGTTCCCACTTAATCCACATGATCGCGCCAGTTTCGATGGCGAGCTGCCAGAAGTACACGAATTTCATGTTCGCCAGACTTCTGACGCGACCAGCGGGACCAACTCTGCAACTTGACTTTGTTAAGTCTCTCAACTCCTTTCATCCCCATCCCAGCTTGGAACTTCGAGGGTCTGCTCGAGATGCTGGTCATGTAGACGTATAAAAGCTGGAATAGATATCTATATTTTTCCACAACTCATACGATAAAAGCAAGAAAAAATTCGAATTGTTCAGTCCCACATTAATGTGGTGTATCCCAGTCCTGCATGCTTCCCTCAGGCTGCACTGGCCGCGATGCGCATGGGCAGGGAAAATTCTGAGCAGGGCCAGTCTTCGGATGAACTGCCGGGCAGCATCCCCCGCAGGACAAGTGCGTTTTTGCTCGTTTGCTCTCTGCTTTCCCCCGCTCTTTCGCATCTTTCCCCGCCCTCCCTCTCTCTGCCCTCCCTCTGCTCTCTCCCTGCCTCCCTGCCTTGTTCACTCCCTTTCTTTCCTTCCTTCTGTTCATGAAGTTTATCGCAGAGCTGGCTCGTCTCCTGCTGCCTCTCCCTCCGTCTCCCTTCCTCCCTGCATCCGTCCTCTTTCGCTGGTCACGTCGTGAGGTCCCGCTGCTTCCCCAAGGCTCCTCGAGCTCTGAGCCCTAACCCTAAACCCTAAACCCTAAACCTAGTCAGCGAAGCGGGTGGGGAAAAAACCCTAAACCAGGCTCCTGGAGCTCCGAGGCCTCCCCGTACGGACATGGGAGTTTCCGAAAATTAGGGTATCCTATTGGGGGTCCTTATAATAAGGATCCTACTCTTTAGGGTGCTATATTAGGGTCCCCGATTCTCTGAAACCCCCACATTTTCGAGTGCAAATGCAGTACGTGGATGTAGTCTGTGGAATGCCCCTGAGATCCCCTGAGCTTTCCCCATGCAGCTGGAGTACACATGTAGTCCGCGTGTATGCGTATAGTTGTTAGAGTTTCTGGTACTGTACGTGTTGCTTTGTTATGCTTTGTTTGTGCTGGTTCAAGTTTCAACCGACATGTTTTGATCCGAATTGCTTCAGTACGTAGCAATGTCCAGATTGGCTTCCGCAGGAGTGTACCAGAGGAGTTGGCCGAGTTGGCGCCGATTCCCTCGTCGTCTTCTTCCTCCTCGGATTCATGCACTATGCCGTCACCGCCCGCCGGTTTGAGTTTCAGTGTTGTCTAGCAAGCTCAAGGGTTTGAGGTTTCGCTTTTCTGATGTGATATTTGCACATGTATATCGCTTGAAGGAGGGTATGCTCTTACATAAGATGCATATCTAGATGCGCTTGTTCTATACATGTTGTTTTGTATTACATATTTGTTGAGAAAATTCGACTTCTATCAGCTTGTCTATGTAACAAGTTCTGAATACAAGCATGATGCATGCATGCATGCATGCAAGCAAGATTTGTTTATGTTCGAAACATGCATGTGCACATGCATGCATTTGTTGCGCTTGTAAGTGATTATGTCTGCATGCGTTTGTGCATGAATGCATGTTTGTGCATGCATGTTGTATACGTGCGTATGCATGTTTGTATGTGCATGTACGAACTGTCTATGTGTGCAAGTAGGCGCATAAGTATGCATGGATGTATGCTTTGAGGACTGCTGTGGCATCTGCTATGGAACATGTCGCCAGAGTGGCATCCGAAAAACCGATGCTCCATCGAAGCAGCCACTTGGCCACAGCTTTTTGGAGCTACTCGACTGTAGTGGTTGAGCATGTTGCCGGTCTTCAAAAGCCTAGGGTGAAGCCGTTTACGGTGACGTTCCTTCGCATGGGAATTTGCTTGCTAGATGCCTTGACACCCTGTCTAGCGACTCGTTCTGCAATACTGGAGGCAAAACCGCTTAGTCGGGGGCTGAAAACATGAACAGATGGAACTCAATAATCCTAAATCGTGCGGCAGTCAATCAGTGTTTGCCCTGGGAGGCAACAAGCCCGTCCTGCAATCGATTCTCAAGAAGTCGGCTGCTGACGATGGAGGGCAGTACAGCCACCGCTTGAGCCGCTTGTCCCTTGCGCGAGACTCTTGCATCATCAAGACTACAGGACACGCATAGATCTTGGCGCATGTCATACACGCGCGCTTACCAGAACTATAAATGCGACCTGGTGGCAGACTCTTGTTCCAGCAGGCGTGATGGGAAGTCAGGAAATCGGCTGTTGCTTCATAACCAAGGTCTTACCATGGCAAGCTTGTCATCCCAAGACGTGCTTCATCAGCAGTGGCAGCGGCATGTTGACGGCGATTGTTGGCAGCCGGAGCGTCGTTTCCGAAGCTGCACATCTAAATCTTACTTGGGCTTGCTTCTGAGGGTCAGAACCGCTTCTTCTTCTCCGAAGACGACAAGAAAAACAAAAAGATTCTGGGCGTTCATCAGCCACCGGCACGTTTTTGCTGCATTCATTGCCAGTTTAGATGTTTTGGGAATGCATAGCCCGCATCGTGCCTGAGTTGTGTGATGTTGTGTGCAGTGCCCCTACCACCGGGGAACGCAGCCTTGCAATTCGTGCTGGGATACTGGGATGTCATGAGTTCATCCAGCAGTTGCGTGGGATTGTTCGGGGAGCAAGAGTCCCGACCTTGAGCATCCTCTGGCTTTCCATGCCAGCACCTTCGCGCCCAATCCTATGTGCTAGCTGCTAGACAGTCTGTCCGACTTCCTTCTGCAGGACCTGCACTATCGTAGACGACCAGGAAGAGCTCCGCGCGGAGCGCGAGGCAAGTTCTAGTGTGGGTCAGGTGTTTATGTGGTTCGGAATCAAGGTTCGTAGGGTTGGTCGTGGATCGGTTCCAACTACGGTTTGCTTTTCTGCGGGATGCTTGCTTCCAAGCGCTAGTGGCATATAGGTTGGGGATGAAGGCTTGCAGACTTAGTGTGTAGTGTTTGCCTTGAAGATCTTCGGAGTGGACCGGCACGACGGAAGGTTCGACAAGGCGAAGACATTGGTTTGAAGGTGTGAGTGTCCTGCAGCTTTTTTGACTAAGCTCAGCCCTACCTAAACTCCACAGCCCCCCCTCTTGAAGTTCGAAGGGTTCTTTCAGATTCAGAGCCCCCAAAGGGTCCCCTCTCTCTACTTCCAGAACTCAGTTGCCAGGCTCAGAAGATCTTGGAGGCCAAAGCCCATGAAATGGAATTGCGGGTGCAGAGACGCGCCTTGGCAACCAGCTTGCGGGGGGGGGGGAGGGGAAATTGGGGAGGGGGGGGAAAAAATGGGTAAAGGGGGGGTCTGGGGTGGGGCGTGTAAGTTTCAGGTTTCGGGCTGGGGTTTGTTGTTTCTCTTCTGTTTCTCTATCACTTCCTTATCTCTTTCATTTCATTCATATCCCTCGCCTCATCCATTCATCCACCTCTTTCATTTCATTCATATCCCTCGCCTCATCCATTCATCCACCTCTTTCATTTCATTCATATCCCTCGCCTCATCCATTCACCCACCTCTTTCATTTCATTCATATCCCTCGCCTAATCCATTCATCCACCTCATCCACTCCCCCACCTCATTCACTCCCCATTACATCGCCCATTCATCCATTTTTGAATGACTTATCACCTATATCATATTTTAAACTGTTTTAAAGTATGATACTCCTTATTCGAAAACCTCGTCAAAATATTTTATGATAGTGTAGGATGTCATATATATTTTATAAATAAAAAGTTGCTTATCATAAAGTTCCCTATACATTTCTTTTAACAATTCTCTATGAATTATATTTAATGATACTTCTTTTCTATAGTATGAATAATATTTATTTTTCAAGTTATATTGATTTAATAATATTTTAATTTCTTCTTTATCTGTTGATTTATCAAACAGTTCTCGTATTATAAGAAGTGGATAAATGTTATGTCCGTTACTTTTGCGCAAATAACTCAAAATGTGTTTCTTGTATGGATTTTTGCTTTTTTGAATAATGTTAATCATTACATCAGGAATATCCACTGAAAACTTATCACTACAACCATATATGAAATCCATATATATCTCTTCTTCTTCACTTTCGGTTATATCAGTATAATCTCTACTATCTAATTCATCCCTACATAACAAATACCATTGTTTAAAGTTTATCTCTTCTATTCTCATATAATGACATTGATCACAAATATCATATTCTTTAATCTTATCACTTATGTCTTTCCCAAAAAGGTTTTCTAAAATTTTGTCCTTGGAACAGTTATTACATTTCATACACACTCTATAATTGAACATAATACTACTCTACTATTCTAAGGCGTTTTGTCTTTAAGTAGTTTTTATGTAATAAGAAGTATCTCGTGTCTGTTAAATCTTTTACTCAAGCCTTCAAGAACATAATATTTGTTTAACTGTAAATCACGCTCTACTTTCTTAACTCTATAAGTATTCTCACTCCACTGATTTCTTGTTTCTTTCCTGCTCGTGTAATTACCTTTTCCCTTAACAAATACCCTCACCATATCACCTTCTTCTATTTTAGGATACTTTCTTAAATACTTTTCTTTTAATATACTATTTGCCTTAACCTTAACAGCATTATTGTCGTCGTGTGCTTCATTTGGAGTGAGACCTGTAGTGCTATGTTCCATATTATTATATTTTCTCAAGACTGGTGCTAATAATATTGTCCAAGCCCCTTTAGTAGATAATGCTCTGTCTCCTATCATTTTCTTAATAGTGCGAATTGCCCTCTCTGCGACATTTGCATGTGTTAGAGTTATTATATCATTTATTCCCTCCCCTTTTAAATATGCTTGTAGTTTGTTGGTATTGAAACTCCCATCATCGTCAGTATATAAACTCTGTGGGTGTCCTAAAACCTTAAAACATTCCATAAAAGCATTATAAACAGTTTCACCGTCTCTGTTTTCCATAGGAACAATATGAAGTTTCTTACTAAAAATATCAATACATAATAAGCCGTAGCGTTTATAACTTTTGTCATATGTTCCTGTGTCTTTCATTAAACTAATCATATCCATAATATCAACTTGATAAACTGACCTCGCAAACGGTGCTGAATAACTCTTATGATTTTTATAATTACGCCTTTGATCATTAGGTTGCTTTCTAATCCATCCCTTAACATCTTTTAACGATATGCTTAATCCGTCTTTCTTTGCTTCTTTTTGTAAATTTTCAGCACTCCCAAAGCCACGCTCCAAATCGTAATATATTTTTTCTAACACTTCCTCTTTACTCATATAATTAATATTAATAAAGTAATTTACTTATTAATATTAATTTATTCACTTTATTTCTGATATTTTTTTACATTTACTTGTCTTTTTGTGTTTGGAAAGGTTGGATTTTCCCTTTAAGGGACATCCACACAAATCACAGTTTATCATTTCATTATTATTATTTGCGGGCAATACAGTGCCTACCTTGAGTGAATTCACTCGTCAATCTCCTGAGACCCTACTTCGCGACTCGCTCAGCCATGTAGGAGGCAAAAAATTATTGTTATTTTTAAAATAATTAGTGAAATATCCGTTTTCTTTATACTTCTTATTTAATCTGTCATTTGTCTCCTTATTTTTCTCCTCTTGTGTTTTTTCTGGTTGATATTCATTTTCCATCATTTTCCATATCATATCAAAAGTTTCATCGTCAATGCTTGTCATTCTTCCGTCTTTGACAAAGTAAGTCATTCGTATTTAACT